AGACAAAGTATATGTGAACTGCTGTATGAAAAGTGAATTTACTCTGTAAATCTTCACCCAAATCCTAATAAAAAAAAAAAAAAATGTATCTATGTGACAATGTCTTATGTCTTCCTTTCTTAATTTTCCCCAATGGTAAAACAGTTAATATTATTCTTATAAAATAATGCATGAAAATTATTAAAACATTTCTCACTTGTGTGGCCCAAAACGGATGTTTTCTGTGGGTCAGAATTCCTCAACAGAAGGTAAAAAAAAGGTTTCTCATTTCCATTTTCTAGTCAAAATCCCATTTCGAAAGAATAATGCTAATACTGTATATAAAATAACCCTATTAGGAGATACAAGAAATGGTTTGGAGTCTTTCCTTCCTTCATTAGTTTGGGGAAATCTTTTTAAGCTATCAAGATATGCATTAATATGTAAAATCTGACATATTTGATACAATTAGCATTTATGGAATATTTAAAAACAACAGAAAACAAAATTATTACCTTTACCAAATGTGGCTTCACCAGTGTTACTACTGAGGTATATCGCTCCAACACAGGTGGAAACCCAATTTCTAATCGTGCTCTGCAGTGTCCAGATCTCTTTGATATTATATCTGATTTCTTGCACCAAGGAACAAAATGCTTATAATGTTCCACTCCTGAAACTACATCATACATTTCCTGCATAGAATATCTTAAGAAAAAAAGGAGAGAGAGAGGTATTACTTGCATCTAGTTATATGGCATATAACTTTAAACCAAATAGGAATAAAGCTTATTGAGTATGAGGCATTGGACACATGTGTTGAGTCACACTCTAGAATAAATGACATTCAAAGCAATATAGAAAATAAAAGGGAACTGAATATACATATAAGGCAGAGATCACAATCTGGCAGCCCACAGGCTAGATGTAACTTGCATATGTGATTTTTAAATATTTAATTAGCTGTCAACCATTAAAAATGAAGAGTTTACATAAAAAATTATATTCATGGCTTCTCTTAAATAATTTGAAAGGTCTTACAACAATGAGTCAAGATTTCTGGGTGACAAGAACTGGCTTCTGTGCGTATGGATTGGAAAACTTAGTAAAATATGAATATTAACTAAAGTGATCTATAGATGCAATGCAATCCCAGCAAAAATTCTAACAGTGTTCTTTACAGAAACAGAAAACAATCCTCAACTTTATATGAAAAGGCAAAAATTCTAAATACTAGCAAATAGAATCTAGCGATATGTCTCAAAACAAAACAAAACAAAAAAAAAACCCCACACCAACTCAGAAACCTGCAATAGTCAAATGCAGCTCATTTAGTATATGGGTGATTCAAGTCACCTCCAGCTGGAATTGACTCGAAGGCAACTGGTGGTGATGGACAGTTTAATATTAAGAATTCTATTATTATAACTGTATTAATTGGTGAAAAGAAAGAAAGTAAAAAAAAACAACTATATGATCCTCTTCAGACAATCTCCTCTATACATGGTAAAACGGTGTAATTTCCATAAGAGTAAAAAATAAAATGTTAAATGTTATCATTAGGAGCTCTGGTAGCATAGTGCCTAAGGCACTTGACTGCTAACCAGAAGGCTGGCGGTTCAAACCCTCCAGCCACTCCTTGGAAGGAAGGTTGGGCAATCTACTTCCACAGTGATACTGCCCTTGGCAACCC